TTCTTACATTACTCTAATCGAGGTAATAAACAAGGGTAATACTTACTCCAATCATTATATTTGTTCCCAAAGTTAATGCAATTCTATTATACATAGGTCTCTCACTAATTCTAATAATAAAAAGTTATTTTTATAACTTATTTGCTAACCTGTTATTACTAATATTTATCAAAAATATATTCTGGTTGTTAAAGTCACTTTTACTCATATCAGTATGCAAAACTAAGCTGTAAGTGTACGGTTGCAAAGTTATAAGTGCACGCTTGCAAAGTTATAAGTGCATATACATTATTTTGGAAATAATTTTTTAGCTTTAATTATATTGCGCAAAATATTAAATTAAATTACAGCATAGTAATCAAGAAGTTTTTTTGTTTTTTTTAAAGTGATTAAATTCTTTACATTTTTACTTAATTTACCATATTGTTATATATCAATAACTTTTCTAGATTAGATACTTTCATAATTTTTAAAAAATAATATACATTATTTAATCATAATATTTTAGAAAGGCATGCAAAAATATACATTATTAAAAAAAAAAACACAAATAAATTTAAATATTTTAATTACATAAATTCTTCTCTTCTTATTGCCTTTTCCAACCATCTTTTCATATTTATATAAAAGACATTGCACTGTTGACTATAATTACTAGCAGGTGATAAAATATATTCTAGAGTTTATTCAACAGTCATATCGGAATTAGCATTTCTCGTGGATTTAAAATCGGATTTTAACATTGAAAAGAACACTTCGATTGGGTTCAATTCACGGGAGTATGGTACTAAAAACTTGTGAGTAATATTTATTTCTCTCAGTAATTGAAGTACTGCAGCTGCTTTATGAAATTTTGCATTATCTAGGATAAGAATTTTATTTAGATTTACTGCAAAGAATGGTACTAGTTTGTTGTTGATGAAATCAATAAATGATTGTGTATTGTATGCGCCGCTTTTGTATTGGTAACATTCAACTCTTAAATTGGAAATTAAGCGCACGAGGCTAACATTCTGTCCTTTATTTGAAGGAACTGTCAAGTACGCTTTTGTATCTTTTGGAGAATAGCTATATGAGCCCACTGTAAGTTTATTGAATCCGGTTTCGTCTAAAAAAAACAAATTTGAATCAGCAATTCAAGCAACTTCTGCCGCAAAAATTGATCTCTGATTTATTCTTTCAATGGTGTTTCTTTCTTGAGGAATGATTGCTAATCTTTTTCGTGTCGAAATTAATTTCTTTAATTTACGGGAAACAAACGAGATTGAAACGTTTTTACCATGTTGTTCTAAAATTTGCGTTTGAATTTCTTTTTGAACTACGGCATTGTTACAGACCACAGAGTTAAATGTCTGTTTAATGTTTGTATTTATAGAATTTTTGATTTTATACGTTTCTTTTCTTTTTACTGTAGATGACTTAGAAGGTATATTATATCACTATTTTTTATAACACGGCTAACAGCATTTCGAGTTAAATTACAAGCGTTGGATATTTCCTTGATTGAATATTTTTCACAATTTCTCATTGTAATAATCGTATTTTAGTTTATTCTGTAATTGTTTTCCGTACTTTTTTTTCCATTGATATTTAAAATATAAGAGTTAAAATTAATTTTATAAATGTACTTATAACTTTGCAAACGTGCACTTATAATTTAAAATTATAACTTAAATTAAAGTTTTATAACTAAAGTTTAAATGCAAAAGTTTAAATGGCAACCATCGAGTAAGTTTTGTTATTATTTTTTTAATTATTAGTTTAAACCTTTTGTGAACCTTTGAAAAACCCGTCAAATCCCTAGATTCTTCGGCCTTGATATAAACCAGATAAAACCCAAACGAGCAAATATGTTTGAGTTTATTACCATATATACCATACCCGTCTGGAAACCAAAACACTTACCCGTCAAAATCCCGTTATCGTAAGCCCAGACAAAAACTATATTGGTACCCGTCTGTCAATGCTGGCTGGGAAGGGATTGTTTAGCAAATTTAAAATGAAACTTTAGGGCTTTGAATTTTAGACGCAAGATCAGCACCAATGTTGTGAAAATATGTGTTAAATTCATTAGTGATATCACTCTTCTTAAATAAACCTTTTTCATTATTCGTATATTTATATATTTGAAGGCACTTTGTTATATTTGAAGGCATTTTGTTAAAATTTACTTTATTTAAATTTTTTTTTTTAATTAGAAGTAAACGTCTTATGTTTATTTTTTATTTTTATTTTATTTATTTAACACGAAATGAAATTTACAATGTAAAAATAAAAATAAATAAATTATTTCTGATCTTCATATTTTTTTTTACAGAATTTGTTTAAAAATTCCTTTTCGCTCTTTTGCATGTTTTTATAAACTTTTTATGACCAGAGATGGTAGAGCTTTTCACTTTCAGTGAAAATATTATAGAGGTGAGGTAAAACATCCTTGTCTTAATCCTTGCTTTAGAAAAAAATATTTGATTTATAAAATTGATATGAGACTGTTGCACTACTATTGTTATATAACGAAGAGATACTGTTAGCCCTTTATTGTTTACAGAAGCCATATGGCTTCAATCAATTTCCAAAGAATTTTATTCTGTTGGTAACATGTTGTTCATAATACCATTACCTGTTCCTCAAAGTATCAACTCTTCAAATTAGGGTTTCAAGCTGGGTTTTTTTATAAACAGAGTTCATGGTTTACTAAGTGTTTTTGACTTTTTTTAGTTTTATATTACTGATTGTGAGTAAATAAAGTTTTATTAATGCTGCCAGTTGATTAATATCGAATTTTGTATTTTAAAATGTCATAAAATTTATGTTAAAAGTAGTTCAAAAACTGCATATGTCAACAAAAAAAATTTGCAAAAAACGATTCAGCAAGTTAAAATAGTAATTTGTATCAATAGAATAAATTTTTACTCAAAAAAATTATAACGTGAACAATAAAGGGTTAACTATGCAGTGGTAATTTTTTATCGTAATATAATTTATCAAATAGGATATCCCAGTTACAGCTATCAATAGCTTTTCTTCTTCTAAAGAGCATAGGTACACTTGAAACTTAATGCTGTTGTAATGTTTACTTGTTTTGCTTATTAAAAATTCTTATTTACTTTTTAAAAATTAGTTGTTTTTTTAATTAAAAATTAATTAGCATGTAACATTGAAAAGATACCATTTAATCCAAATTGAAGGGGGTGCGTATCTCTAATATCCGGACATAAAGACTTTTTGTACGGTTTAATAAAGGGTACAATAATTGATGTCAACATTGATATTTGTGTCCATCCCTATTAATGGAGTAATTAAAAAATTTGTTGAGCCATTTTGTTAAAGTCACAATTTCAAATTATTAATCATAATTTGCGTATTTCAAATGTTCTGCTAAGCTACCGAAAGAGTCAGGAGATTTTTTAAGGTGGTACTACCCTATTGAAAACATCAAAAAACATTTTTTTTTTTTTTTTTTTTTTTTTTTAATTTTTACAATTTGAACATCCTAGATCGTGAGTATAACTTTTTTTTTCTTTAAAAATCAATATAAAGTCCAAAAATCAGTATTTAAAGGCTACAAGGTAATTTTCGAATCCCTAGCAACGGCCTTAGCAACCGTGTCTGTTTATGTTTTAGTCCTAATTTAAAGTCTAGTTCCATAAATATAAGTTCAAAAATGACTTATTCTGTAGTGCTCTTTGTTTCTTCGAAGAGATAAGTCATAAACTTAAATAACATTTGATGTAATTCTCGATTTTATTAGTTATACAAGCCTCTTGATAATTGTTTTTGGTAATAAACTTCCAAGTTTTTCTTAATTGTCAAGATAATTATTTTTATAGTTTAATATTTAATATGGCAAATAAAAAAAATAACAACAGAAAGAGAATAAGAAAATTTCAAGGGAACTTTCACACTAAAAAGGTTGTATCAGAATTTAGTTCAACTGGTGACAGCAGTTAGGTACGTGTGTAAAAATTTTAAGTTGTTTAAGTATTAGATTTTTATATATCATTGGAAAGATTTTTAAAAAAATATTACAAAACTGAAAATTTTATCAAAATTGGATAATTCTACGAAAAGTTATGAGCATTATAGTAACAAAATGTAATTACAAGGATTCCTTAACAAAACTGTGACCAATTTATAGTGGTTTTGTAACTTAAACCGCCTTAACGTTGTCAATTCTTTTCTAAATGCATAAATCTTGGTATCAAAAGATAGGTGTAACATTGGGCTACAAGTTTTATTAGCTTTTAACACCCGTGCATGCTAAGGGGGCTAGAGGGGGGACAAAAGAGCTGCCTCTGCCATCAACAAATGCACATTTTTTTCCATTAAAGATTTTAATGAAAAAAAATGTGCATTACATTTTAATTTTTTATTATATAAAATTAGTAATTTTTTTATAAACAAAGTTGTTATTTTTTTATTCCAGTTGCCAAGCATCTATTAGTGGTGTATTTTATAAAGTAGGGTAGGTGATGGTACACGCCCTAGTATCAAAATTGCTACATTCTGATAAATATTTTTATCATTATTAAAATTAGTGAAAATAGAATGAAATTGAAAATAACATTTTATTAAATATATATTAGTGACATAAATAAATTATAGGATGTGGGGCGTCACCCCCCCCCCCCGCTTACCTATAAATCAAATAGTTTAAAAATAAAAATTAGCCAAATAAAAAGTGGTAAGGTACACTCCTATTAAATCTTAAAACTTTTGTTTTTAGTTATTAAGGTGCTCTAAGAAGTCCTAATGGTCTTGTCACAGAGAACCGCCACATGAAGAATAGCATTTATTAAGATAACTTTCTATTTCCAACTTCACCAATAACGTTTATATGCTTCGAGCTGAGATCGAACCCGCAAACCTTGGATCAAGAGTCCAATGCTCAAACCACTGCGCCACAACTGCTAAACCACTGCGCCATGGCTACTAAATTTCTTGGTGCCTTTAAATGGTGCGAATACTAAAAAAAAAGATAATGTTTTCATATGCATAATGAATAAGAAACTTATTTTCTGAGATTGTTTATGTGAACTATTAATAACGATAAATATAAAAAACGACATAAAAAAAACAAAAAAAAAAAATATGCATTAATTTATAACTTCTATCTTCTTTCTATCTTCTATCTATTTTTTTGTATAGTTAATATTTTATTTTTAATTAGTATTTAGGGGCTTCACAAAGTCCTGAGGGCCTAAATAATGCCTAATAATATTCTCAAGAAAATTGTGGCTATGAAAATAGCCGTTTTATTTTTTTGAAGAGTTTAGCTGACCAATAGAAAGAAGTTTAAAGATGCGCATTATCTCATTAAAGCATTGATCTCGTATCATCTGATAACGCCAAATCACCACATATGATATCTGCAGACAGTTGATATTTATTCATATCATACTCAATAGCATCCTCGTCCTCACACTCCTTTGGTTTCCAGTAAGAAATGATATATACACCAATGTTGTTTTTTTTTAATCTAAGAATTCGCCCGTAGTAGATTTCCTGAGTGTTTGTGACAGAATCATACCACATGTGGCAGATATTTCGTCCAATAACATCACCAAAAATAATATCTTCTATATCTGCAGCCTCGTTATTTTCAAGATCAGGAAACAGTATTTTTATTTGCTGAGGTACACAGTTTTTTAAAATCTTTTCTACATTTTTTCTTTCTTTTTCCTCCTTTTTTTGAAGCTTGGCAGCCATTCGTTTAATCAGTTCTATCTTCAATTCCTCATGTTTTTGTATGTTTGCAAATCGCTTTTTTCTAGCAGTGGATATGGCCCATAATATCAATTTGTTTCGAACCTCAATAGGTTTTTCATAGAGGAACTCGGTGGTTTTATTTTTGCATGCACGCAGTTTTGCTGATAAGAAACAGAGTGTAGCATTTGGTGCTTTTTGCTTTGCAGCACTAAACATACCCATAAGTTCTTCTGAGTCAATATTGTGAAGTCGTGCTGATAATGTCTGGGCTTTAAGTTTATCAGTTGTATTCAAGTTAAACAGTCGCTTGTATTGCCGGTCAATGACATTAACAACAGCACTCAAACAGCAGACTATTGCGTCTTTCATTTCATTAGTTCTTGGAGAAAAGTTAACAATAGAATCAAACACCGGATCATTAATACAACCACCAAAAAAGTCTGTTGTTCGGTTTAATAAAGAAAGAGCATTCTTCTGACTCTCAATAAGAATGTTGCGAACACCTTTAACCACTTCAACACCAGACAAAAAGTCAACTTCACTTTGTGCAACATAGAAATTGGTCATCCAAGGACCGGTCAATAATTTTCCCATTAAACCTATAGCACACAGCTCGCGTATACCTGAAATGAATATACAAATGCGATTAAAAAAAAACCATATAGAAGATTAAAAGCCATTATCTGATTTCCAATATATAAAGTATATATAAAATATTTACCAGTGTCTGATGTGAAGTCTAGGAGTAAGCTATTTCTCAGTCCTCCACATGAAACCACACCAGAATGCAGGAAAGTTCTCAACAGAGCATAGTAATGAATTAAGACTCCACACGTGTGAAAAAGGATGTGTAGTCAATTTCCCCTGTAGCGAGGTAGTAGTCCTCTAGGGAGCTTGTTGTTATCCAAAAATATAACAAAACCCTTCGGGTCACCTTTAATTAAAAAAATACAATGTATATATATCTATTCCCTGTATAGAAGTCCTTTGCAAGTTTAAAGCAATTCACTTTTTAAATCTTCTATTCAAAAACTTATAAACTTAAAGCAATAACTTGATAAACTTAAAACATCAACAAAATTACACTTATATATACATACAAACATACATATATATATATATATATATATATATATATATATATATATATATATATATATATATATATATATATATATATATATATAATATATATATATATATATATATATATATATATATATATATATATATATACCTTTACCATCCTTGTAACGGAGTTTGTTAAGCTGAACAACAATGTTAGCAGCAACACAGTCTTTACCGAAAAGATTCCCTTGTGAAGTTTTCAATGCTTTAAGCGATGACTTACAAGCACTGGTTATTGTGTCTAATGGATGAAGAAGACAGTTAAGTTCATTTAATGACTTTTGCCACAAATTGTTTAACTTAGTTACTGTTGCATGGTTTGTGGCAACTCGGTCGCTCATGGTGTTACCTATATTGCTAATAATAGTACTTCGTAATTCCAAGTACTTTTGCTGGTAAAAGTCACTATATAACTTTGCTAGATGATCTATTGACTGTGTAATGTGACTCTGATAGTCATTAGCTGTACTTCCAGCAAGTTGGTTAATTGCTACAACCATTGTCTGAGTTGTAATGTGTACTGCATTTACATGAATACCCTCCTGAGTTGTGGCATCAAAACCCAGAGTAAGATCTTTTGTTGACAATGCTATCTCAGCAGTCTGTAGGTCTAAAATAACACCTAGCTCACGCATCATCTGCTCCACGGTTGTGCGGTGTGGAATATCACTGAAACAATATCCTGTGTGTTCTCCAATTTTATGGAGTAGCAGTGGCACACTGTGAGAAGGAACATGACACATAAGCATGTCATATATTAGAGCCCTAATACTTGTTGAGTAACTTTTGGAATGTCTTGAATTTTGTTCTGTCTCCTGTATAGATTCTAATTTCTCCTGTAATATCAACATATCATTCTGCAGGACTTGAATCTCTACATTTTTGTCAACAAGTTGATTTTTTAATATTGCTGTTACAGAAGATAACTGGTTCTGGGCTGACACTAGTTGCCTTTTCAAATAAAGATTAGCATTTTGAAGTTGCTTTAACTTTAAGTTGGAACAATTTTTATTTAACTTCTCACGCAGTTGACGAATTGTTATTTCTTTTCGAGCAATAGTCTGATTAAGTTGTTTAAGCCTATATGGTTTTGATCGAATTTTTTCTCTCAAAGTTTTTAAATCCTTTTTATGTTTTAGACTTTTTGTGGCAACTTCATTTGCCAATATAGATAACCTCTGTTTAAGGACTTTTTTTCTTGGAGTTAGTTGGTCATTTCTCAACTTAGGGAACAGTTGTGAATCAAAAGATGAAGTACCAGAGTTTGACAAGGAATCAGCACATGATTCAGCTATGCTATTTGGTCCAATGGGGGTTAAACAATCCAAAGAACTGGATGTAAATGATGCATTGTAGACTGCAATAGGCACTGTAACAGCTTCAATGTCAGGTAAAATAGTTAAAGAAATTGAATTAAAAAATACTTATGAGCAAATTTTTTTAAACTTTTTCATATCTCTTGATATTGTTTTTTTATATTTATTGATACTGCAACCTATCAAATTCCTAATTTGATTTTTACTTGTAGGAAGACCAAATCTTTCAAAAATATTTTTTTCTGTTTTAGTAGCTGAAAATCCATTTTGAATATACAAATAAATAACATGTCCTTTTAAACATAGCTGATAAGAAGTCGAATTATCAGAAAGAGGCAGTTCGCTGTAAGTGGACTTGAGATAATTGAAAATTGCACTTTTGCATTTTCTTTTTGACATTTTAAAACTTGAATTGCTGCACATAAAATCAAAAAATGAAAACAAATTTTTTCACATAAAATACAACAATAAGGCTTACATTAACATGTCAAAGATAATTATATCAAAGTTTCAACAATAAAAGGTGTTCTGTTCTTTATTTTATAAAATTTGTAATTTTTTTAAAAAAATTTAAAAAAAAGTTTTTTAAAAATATAACCTTTTTGTAGGTACGAGTGTAAAAATTTCAAATTGTTTAAATATTAGATTGTTATATATCGTTGAAATAAAATTTTAAAAAATATTCCAAAACTGAAAATTTTATCAAAATCGGATGATTCTACAAAAAGTTATGAGCATTATAGTGACGAAATTTGATTACAAGGATTCCTTAACAAAAATGTGACCAATTTATAATGGTTTTGTAACTTAAACCACTTAACATTGTCAAATCTTATCTAAATGCATATAACTTGGTATCAAAAGATAGGTGTAACATTGGGCTACAAGCTTCTTTTGCTTTTGACACCTGTGTGCATTCAGGGGGCTAGAGGGGGGACAGAAGAAACATCTTTGCCATTAAAAAATTCACATTTCTTCCAAAAAAGGTTGTTTTTTTATATATAAAACTAGTAATTTATCAGTTTAAGTTGTTATTTTTTTATTCCAGTTTGCAAGCAAATATTATAAATGTATTTTATGAAGGAGGTGGATGTGGTGGTAATGGTACACACCCTAGTTTCGAAAGATTCATTCTAATAAATATTTTTATCATTATTAAAACGAATGAAAATAATAAATAATGAAACTAATATATAAAATAATACATAATAAAAATTATATTTTATTAAATTATATATAAGTGACATAAATAAATTATAGGATGTGGGGCGTCACCCCCCCCCCCCCTCATCTATCACAAAAAAAAAGTTTAAAAACAAAAACTAGCAGTATAAAAAGTGGTAGAATACGCTCCTTCCAAATCTTAAAACTTTAAATTTAATGCTTTTAAATGCTCTAAATGCTAAAAAAAAAAAAAGAAAAGAAAAGAGAATGGTATACATATGTATAATAAATAAGAAACTTACATAATGAGATTGTTTATGTGAACTAATAACGCTAAATATAAAAAACGACAATAACATAAAAAATTATGTTTTAATTTATAACTTATTTCTTGACTTTTAGTAAATGATTAAAAACAGTTCGGGTCACCTTTAAGCAAGAAAACTAAGTTATATATATAATATAGAGAAGAAAAATATGTTAAATTAAGGCTTTTGATACTTTGTTAGATACTTTTTAGAGTAAATGGTTAATTTATCTTAACCGCCCTTGTAGCATGGTTTGTTAAGCTGTATAACAATGTTTGCTGCAATACAATCCCTGCCAAACAGTTTCCCTTTTAATGTTTCCAATGCTTTAAGTGAAGACTTATGCAAGCAGAGGTCATTGTATCCAATGGGTAAGGATGGTAGTTTAGTAACTGTTTAACGGTTTCTGCCACTAAGTATTTAACTTAGTAATAGTTGCATGGTTTGCTGCCACTCGGTCACTCATCATATTACTTATATTACCAATAATTGTACTTCGTACTTCAATATATTGTTGCTCGTAAAAATTACTATACAACTTAGCAAGGTGATATACAGACTGTGTAATATGACTCTGATAATCATTAGCTGTACCCCAAGCAAGTTGGTCAATAGCCACAACCATGCATCGTGTTTTGGTTGTAAAGTGCACAGCATTTATATGGCCACCCTCTTGTGTAGTAGCATCAAAGCTCGAGGTCATATTTTTTGTTGCAATAGCTATTTCAGCAGTCTGCAGATCTGGACTCCACGCTCACGCAGTTATTGAACATTTATTTTAAAAGCATACAAGTAAAACATGTCCTTTAAGACATACCTGATATGAAAAAGGTAGTTTAAGATACTCTGATTTCAAATGATTCAACATTAAACATTTCTTTGACATTTTAAAAACTCTAGGTACAAGTATAAAAATTTAATTATATTATTTAGAGCACTAAGCTGTAAATAAATAAATTATATTTATTTAATATAGTGAATAAAATAAATATAGTAAATAATTCACTAAATTTTATTGTAACATGTTTAATAATATTAACGCTGCATATTTAACATGTTACCCTTCTTGACATGTTTAACATGTTACCCTTCTTGAAGGATAGTTTTTGTAGACGTTCATAACTTATAGAATAACAAAGCAAATATAATATATAACTATTTATAATTCTATACAGTATATAATAATAAATGTAATTTATTTAATAAACTATTAAAATTAAATTAATTTTAATAGAATATAATTACTATTGCAATAGTCTAGCAAAAATATATATTTTGATTAATTATTTAATGAGTAAATAATGATGCAAATATTCGATAAAGATAATTTAATACTTTGAAAGAATAATCAAAAATACAACTAAAAGTATAACTAAAAAATTATATATCTTCAAAAGATTCAAAAAGGATTCTTTTTAAGTATCCACAAATGCCACAAGGTTGTTTATAAAAAAACAGCAAGTTAATAAATATGCATTTTGCACCAATCGGAGTTTCAAAAACTATCATGTGACTACAAGAAATGAAAAAATGCGAACGCAGCGTAACAAGGCAAGAAATCCAGCATTTCATAGAAATACCTAGGGTGCTTGGGGAAACCCAAAACCAGTGTGCGCTACACCTGATTAATATAAAAATTGTACCAATATTAGACAAATAAATGATCTACAATACCTTAAAGTTTCATAAAGTACCTGCAATTATTTACAGAGTTGTGATTCATAGAAAAAATGTGCTAACTTATGATGAAAAAATATATATGCTTTATTTTTGTAAAGTAGTGTAAAAATGTATCAAAATTTAGACAAACCTTTTTTCTAACTACGTGCAAAATTTCAAAAAAATTGGTTAATAATTAGCGGTACAGTTTCGTTTGCCCTAATACGTGTCTTGGCCAAATTACAAAAATCGGGTCACAGATTTTAGCTTGCGTTTTTACGGCAAATTACGAATTTACGCACGTACCTACAGCAGTGGTATAAAGAAAATTCAAGTCATGAACAAAAATAAACAAATGTATTATGATTTAAACGACTTTTACTTTATAATGCATTTTAAACAGATGAAATTAATTTTTGAAAAGTACTCTTGTCAAATTTGTTCAAGCAAGCTGGAAATATCACATAATGTTAGCTGCGTAAAGGATTTTCTTTATCTTTAAAAGTTAAATGTACACATTGTGATAACATTGATAGTTTTTTTACATCTCCTGTCTTAAATAATGAAAAGTTTGGAAATAAACCTCATGAAGTCAACATTCGCAGTTTAATGGCGTTTCGTGAAATAGGATGTGGCAGAGAATCAATGATACGCTTTGCAAATATTATGAACATGCCAACCCCTATGACTTATCGAAATGTTAATCGAGGTAATGATGACTTACATATCGCATATCAGAAAGCTGCAATTTGCAGTATGACAAATTCTGCTATGGAAGTAAGACAAAGTCTTCTAAAACCAAATGATGATACATCAAGTCTTG